AGGGAAAAATCAATTCACCTCAAACCCTATTTTCAGCAGTATTCTCAGGGTGCTGCCCAGACCACTGCAAATAATACGAGAGAAATAAAAATAAAGCAGCTTATCTTTTCACCTCTGCTTACAACATCAATGCCCCCAACTTCTTCAAGGTTGTGTTCTTCATAGGTATTACACTTGTCCTACTGCAGAATTGCTAACTCGGCAACGAAACACCATGGATTCACACCAAAACACTTTCAAAGCTTTCTACATTTGGTATTTCATGGAATATGCAAAAACTCAGAAGTGACGGCAGTTAGCATCTCAGTAAGCATTTGCTTTTATTTGGAATTTTATGCTATAAAAATTGCAAAACCAACTGAGAACTTCCTATCACTTAAACAGTTAACATAATGAACATTTAAAATGCAGTATTTCACAAAAAAATTAGCTTATCAGCTATGAACATGAACTAAGTTCTCAAATTTTATATCCACTATAAATTCAGAGAACTATTCCTGTTAAAGTGCACATTTTACATTCAGCATTAAAATACGTAAGGCACTTTAATCAATAAAAGATAAAACTTATTAACAGGATTAAACAACTTGGTTAAAATAAATGGATAACTATTGCTCATCTGCATTGTAGATGATTAGTTTCTCCTTCACCAGAACAACAAACTGCAGGGCAGGAACATTGAAAGAAATGACTGATCCCCCTCCAATATTTACTGAGTAAATAAAAGCAACAACAACATAGGAACAAGCGGGTTCTTCCTGGCCTGTTACCCACAGATGGCGGCACCTTATGTCTCAGCTCAGGTTCTTACCAAGGCAAAAATCCAAATACATCGCAGGCTTTTACGAAGAAAACAAAATCTGTACTCAGAATATGAACACAGGGAAGTAACACTGCGTGTCTTCAGACAGAGGCCAAATTTCAGAAAAATCCGATGTATCGAAAGCCCCTCATAAATTTTGAGGGAGGTTAATGCAGACAGCAATAAGGCCAAAACAGAAACTGGTTCTGCAGTTTCTGCAAACATTACCTGTTTTGTTTGCTGCACAAAGAGATAAAGCAATACAAGGAAACAATTAACTTGGAAGAAAAACTTTTTTCTGCAGTGTCAGGAGTCCCTTTAGTTTACTTGTGTCAGGTGTGAAGTGTTACTTCATACACAGCTGAATTTGGAAAGCATATTTTAGAAGCCCCCAGAATACTTTAAAAATCATCGTGCAGGTCACCTTGAAGAATACAGAGTTCAATACTTAGGACAAATTATCGAGGTGTAGATCCAAGTAACTCTTCAACTTCCACACAGCTTAGTATTCCAATACTTATTATTTGCTGTGTCAAAATGAAAAACCTCTCCCATCACGCACTTGTATGCTCCAGGCAGCGCTGCCCAGGACCCGCATCCGACAGTAACGTGTGTTCGGTACAAGACTTCACCTTCAGCAGTCCGTATTCCTTTTAACTTCTGTCTTCAGCATGACATCAATTTCTTCATAAATAGCTCTGAAAGAGGAGGAACAGGGCAACTCCTGCATCACAGTTGTTTCATTTTGACAAAACTTACCAATGAAATCCTGCCCAAGCATGAAGTGCCAGGAGTTTACAGGGTTTGCTTAATGGAGCAGCACCAGTTGTAGGATGCCCAGGTTTCCATGGAAAGAGAGCTAATCCTGTGGTGTGTCTGTGATTAAGCACTTCATGAGACACCTCTGGACATCGCCACTTTTGATGAATGAAGTTTGGGAACAGGACTGGAAAAGGCAAGCCCTTTGGCCCTCTGCAGAGTCCCGCCATCCATTCCCTTTTTTAACTTACAGTTAAATTGAGGATTTTCTCGATACGCAGTAGAACAACATTCTTAAAAACCATGACAGCTGTAAACAGAAATTACTCCAGTGACTTTGCTCCAGAACTACCTGTACTGCAGCATCAATCACCTTCCTCCACCAGGACTCTTAACCGTGTTTTAGTCACCTTTTCGTATCACTGGAGAGGATTTCAGTAGATCGTTTCTGACATAGCATTATGCCACGATTTTTACAGATGCCAGTTAATGAAGAAACTTTGCTACTTAACTGGTTATGCCAGAAATATTGGATAAGTATGTACAGACTGCAGCCCCTCATTTACATTAGCAAACTGTACATGATCTATTTTCAAAGTTACTTACTCAGTGGGAGCCAAGGGATCAAATTCCATTATCTCATAGTAATGGGGTGATTGTGACTTGTTCTTTGATGCAGCTGAAGAATAAAGAAAGGCAGATAAATTGAGACTTAAATGTAAATGAAAAACATGCTTACTGCAGGTAACTTTTTTTATCTTCCGGAAAGTACCTTGTTGCTTTAAATGCTAAAATGGACAGATGTGCCTAAGAGAAGCTATGAGCAACAGGAGATTTTGCCAGTTTTGTTGCTGCTCCTCGTCTTTAACAGCCATTATGTAAAGGCCTTGAGTTTTATAACATGAAAGATGTATCTCTATGCAAGTTAGGTGGTCTGCAATGTTTATTACCTGCTGGTGATGCTCCATTTAGCGATGCAGTATTTCCAGCCTGCAGGTTTACTGGATTCAGAGGCACTGGGCTTAAAAGAGTCGCCAGCTAAGGACATCAAGCAAAACAGCACATAAACAGATTGTTCTGCGAGAACTGGTTTGACTTAACTTACATAACTGCTGATTTATCTGCAGACTCAGATTACAGCAAGTAAATTCTATGGTCAACAGTATCAGTCTAATTAATCTCAATTCTCCACAGAAAGTTCAAAACATCTTTTAGTGTTATCTGTAGCACGTTTGTGTAATTCTGTGAAATGCATTGCGCTATGCAGACTGAAGGACAGCAGTATTCACAATACAGGTATCCGCTCTTACTTGCAGTTTAAAACAGGGAATATTGCGTGCGTGTTTGGGGGCTGCTTCCCATCTTTTCTTTTTCTTACTCGTCACCAAATACAGGTGTTTCCCAATGTATGGAGAAGGGTCACGGAATAGATGCTTGTATCCTACATGGACAGCAGTCAGGGTAAATCCAAACAGTTCTCATTTTGACAGCTGCCAGCAAAAAGTGATTATTTGGAACTTGAGTGTTACTCACATTGCTATATGAATGTCCAGATGGGTTGCTTACACTATTGTTTTGTGCTTCAGTTGCAAATCTAGGAGAGAGCAATACATTGAAATTAAATAAGAAACCACCAGAACTCTATATTCTGATTGTTACATTGGTTTTTTGCTGGTCTGTCTTCATCTATCACAACCGAGAGCAGCAGGGGTAGGCAGGCTAGTGTCCCATTCACAAAAGGTAGGGAACTACAAAATGTAGGGAACTCCTGTCTTAAACTCTTCTTGATGACCTGTACAATTCATCTGTTTCTCCCTCCCGATGCAGCATTGGCAACACTCAAGCATAAATGTCTCCGGTATGCTTTGACTGTTGAGGTAAACAGCGCTGCAGGAGTAGTGTTTTAAGCCTGTTAAGCAAAGTCCAGCACACAGAGAGTTTTCACTTGGTTTACTGGACTAATGTGTAAAAGTAGAAAATCTGTGTTCTCAGAGCTTTCTATAAACTCATTAGATGACTTACAGAGCACTAATACTGCTGCAGATCTGTTATCTGTTACCATTTCTTGATAAGGGATTACTCACGGGAATTGCTGAGCTTTTGTAGTAGTTGCTAAATCTAGGCGAGGATAAATCGATGGATGATGCTTGTTTTTATCTTCAGGGTGTGCAGATACACAATCTGAAATTCAAAGTGATAATTAATGATCAGTTAAACATTATTAAGCAAATGTTAGTTACTTGTACTCTGAACACTGACAGGCTAAAGTTCTGTTTGGAAGGCCTATAAAGAGTCTGAAATGAATTGCTGTTTATTGCACAAACCCCAAAATTTTAGTAACTCTGAGAAGGTTTCACATGCAATACATTTATCTCCTTAAAATGTTGAACCAACATCAGTAGTGCTATATGTGGTAGATACTTTAAACTCCTGTCACTATTTCTGAAAGATTAAAATGGAATTATGGAATTACAGGCATTTATTTCTGGGGGGCACACTCACACCTTTATCTTCAGAATACAGATTCCCCTAGAGTGGATAAAGGAGGGGCTTCTGCAAACAGTTCTTCAGAGTACCAAAGTTAGGAGCTTTACTCACTCTTCATGACTATCAAAGAGGTTTAAAGTTAGAGGAGATGAGTACCTTTCTCAGAGTGAATTGTTTCTAACACCAAGTGCCTTCTAAAAAAACCTTAGGACACGAAGAGCGTATGAGAAAAGTGTATCTGTGTTTCTTTCTTCCAATCCTACAGGACAAGCAACTACCAGACTGTTTTACAGGCTTCATTGTAATAGAAAACAGAGCACGTTCTACTGTCAAAGTTTATGTAATGGCAGAAAAAGATTATTGCTTCCACTGTAAAAAAAATTACAGGAAGCATTTTACTATTCTACCCCCCCCCCCCATGTACACACATCAATTCTCCTTTCAACGAGATTTAAGGAGCATCCTTAATATTAAGGAGTATCTTTATTCTCTTTCTCAAAAGGAACTTCTTTGTTCCTCCACTAAGCTCTGGCAGGGTAGCTTTAGGAAAGCAGACTGCAAGGGAAACGTGCGTTTGTCACTTACTGAAGCCTGAAGGAGACACTGCAGAGTCAGTTGGTGCCACAGCTGACACAGGAGACGGAGAATCTATGGAGAGGTCAAGCAGATCACTGGAAGGAGCAGACGGCTGCTTCCTGTACAGCTTAAGATTTGAAAAGGAATAAAAATTGTTTGTTGGGTTCTTTTGTTTTGTTATATTTTCTTTTTTTTTTTTTAAGAAAAAACAAACCTGTTTTAAATAAATGGCTATTTTCATAAAATATAAACTTTGAAATCCTAATATTAAAATTTGGTAAGGATGAGAGAAAACTAGGATTTTTTTATGTGTGAAAGACAGCTAATGAAACAAAAAAATGCTTTTCAGAAGAGATGGGTTTCAGCAAGGTTGCTATTTCAAAAACCAAGGTAAACAATTCTGATTTAGAAAACAGAATAGACTCAATTCTAAAAAGTAATTGTGAGCTTGTTTAGATAAAAACTTTTGATATTGATCTTCTGATTGATCCTGTACAATTATTTTAATGCTACTTATTTGTGTTACTGAGATTTAATACATACTTAGGAGACTGACTTTTTCAGCCCTGTTTTGGATAGGAAAAGTTCAAAATCACAACAATGTTTCCAAGGACATAGCAAAGGATTCCCTTTGTCTCTCCTGTGAATTTCAAAAGTACCAGGCAAAGATTTTAATAAACCCACATGCTTGAATTATATGGGTTTGGTCACATCCGATTAAAAATATATAATTTTAAAATAAAACTTTAAAAAAGAAGATTATGCATTTTAAACTTGGAGACTCCTGAACAATAAATGAAAATGCACAGAATTTGGACTATTAACTAACCCAACAGTGCATCCACCAAGCAAAAACATCGACCTACATAACCAGAATGTAGTAACAGTGGCTTTTCAGGAAAACAAGATATACCTTTTTTTTAATAATTGCCAGCTGTATTTTAGCACTCACAATGCAGTTGTTTTCATATTAAGTCCTAGACGACTGCACAATTATGGCTTAGCAGAAGCTGAAACACGTGTAAAACTACTTTGAGCAATACAATTAACAACCGTAATTACCAATCAATAAAGGATTTTCATGAAAGATTTGCTACAAGCCATTATTCACAATTCAGAAAAAGCTTTGACTCGGGAAAAACCCATCAGTAATAGTGAATTCTGAGAGTGTAGTAGTATTTCAATCTATAAATGCTTAACAGAGAACAAATTAAAAGAAACATTATGGTTCCTAATTTTGTAAATGGCAGATAATAGTGCTTAGCTCTAGAGGTAATAAACCAGCACTTGAATAGATCTCTCATTCTCATTTTTCCTGACCAAGCTTCCATCTTAGGTTTCTTTCTTACTTCAGTTAACTGAATTTATGTGAAATTCTACAAGCAAGACTAGAAAACTGATAAGCCTGTTGTCTCCTGTACCTGCCCATCAGAGAATAAAAGGGTCTTTTTCACAATTCACAGGAAAAGGCATGTTTACAGCCCTGCACTTCACGAGTTCACCTATAATTACTCACCTCTGTGCGTTCACGTTCTATTCTCTGATTCTCCAAAAACCGAACTCTGTTTCGAGAGAACCTGTTGAAGTTGCACAGTCAAATGCACGTTCTTACATTTCTGTGATGTCATTCGCAAGAATATGAAACCAGTTAAAAATCAAAGTTTGATTATCAGAAGACTCCAGAGGCACCAAACGAGCGCTACAGGTGCTTCTCGCTGGGGCACTGGTCTCTTCACCAGCCACGTGACTCTCTCTTCTCCAGGGCCGTGCTCCTCTATCACCTACACTAACACCAGCGTGTATGTTACACCAGGCTGGGGCTCACTTCCAGAGACAACTGTCTGTATCTTCGAAAACAAAACCAAGGAAGAGCTGACAATAAAAATTGCCTGTTCATGACGGACAAGAACTGGCAAATCTGGGTCTTTCTGACCAGAACACTTTTCCAACTGAGTCCTAGGCAGCTTTCAGTCCTTACAGGTCCCCCCACATTCCCTCGTGCCATCTCAGGACAAAGCACGTGCCTGTTCTTGTAGACAGCCCTCTCATTAGTTCAGGCGTTTAGAATTTATTTGGTTTTTTTTAAAACAGGAAAAAAAAACCCACCTGCATAAATATTTATGCACTAGGAGTTGTAACATTGCTACACTGGGTCCAGAGGAGACCCAGCCAAGTGACATTCAGCACCCACAAAGTCGATCTGTTTTAGAAGAGCCCAGAGTGGACTGGCCAGGACACTGTATAACTGCATTTGCTGTTTGGGGTTACCGTGCTGGCAAGGCCCACAAAGATTGTATATACACAGGGAGGAACAGAAGGAAAAAACCCTTTCCAGCTGCAGAACATAAAATATTTATGCGAATTATAGGAAGAACCAAGAAGTTGCTACAGCCACTAGAGGGACTCATCGTTCCGTACATGAGGCCAGTTTATTGCACAATGCTTTTGCTCCCGACTTAATTTGGGCTCTACGTTAATAATCAGAAGCAGAGAATGCAGCGTGACTTGTCTTCAAACAATACACACAGAATGAAGCAGATGCAGCTAGTTAAAAACAGTTTGTCCTTTACACATCTCACTGTTCAGCAGTTTTTTGATTTCTGAAGAACAAATCTAATGCAGCAAATATTAACCAAGTATTATTAATACTTAGCAACTCTCAAGTGCAATGCATCTGCAACCAGGAAGATTCCTTACATAAAACCATAATGCCTTTCACAGCCTGGTCTAGTGGGACATGTCCCTGCCCATGACAGGGGCTTGGAAGTAGATAATCCTTAGAGTCCCTTCCAACCCAAACCATTCTATGATTCTAGTATTAAAACGCAGTAATTTCCTGTCCCGTTTCATAATGGCCAGGTAATTGCTCCTTCAATTACCAGGTGAATCTTTCACAAGGAATTTGCTGAATTCTATCCACAGCTCAAAAGGTTCTTGGCCTTGCCAGCATTCACCAGTTGTGAAAAAAACGTTAAGCCCACATCTGACTTCAGTGGATTTACAGAAGCCAAACAGAATTCTATTTTTGTTTCACTAAAATGAAAAGCTTCCTAAAGCAAGAACACACAATTCTATCAAGGCGGCTACATAAAATATGCCAACACTGCTGCAGACATATGATGTAAGGCTGAGTAAGGAAAAATCAATGCTGTCAAGATGAGGCCCAAAGATTGTGTCACGCCATTTTGAAGAATTAGCGATACTTTCAGTGCAGCATTCAGAGCAGGATTTAAAAATTATAATAAATTACTAAATCCTCCAAAGTTGCTAAATTTAATCATGAACCATTGCCCTTGATGCATAACAATTTCTAGAACATTTCTTAGCCATGGAGGAGATCAACTACTTAACACAGAAGCCTGGTCCCTATTAACCAGAAGATTTTCCAGGAGTATACTCATGGGATATTTTGGGAGATAATACTGGAATTTTGATTTTAAATTAATTTCAGTTTTGCTAGCATCTAGTCATGCTAGCAATAATATAACTGACAAATACACAGGATGTCAACACAAGCACTGTGGTGCTTTCACGTGTGAAAGAAAGAAACAATTTCTGCTATAAGACAAGTAGAACAGCGTGTTTCAATCCAGCTGAGAACAGCAAGCGACTCTCTTAAGCATGCAACGAGGCAGAATGTTATTCCATGGCCGATTTCTGCAGTAGAGCTGTCAAAGCTGTTTAGAAAGGAGAAAGTCCTCTTTCCTGGAAGCCTATACACTTAACAGAGATAAGGACCATCACCAGTACCAAAGGGTTTGCAGTAGATGGATGACAAATTCACTGTGCATTACCAAAAAGGAATGTCAAATTCCAAAATGATTTTTGTTTGTGTGCCTTCACTCAATTTCCTGTCTATACCACTAACTTGTTTTACTCCATTCCAACGGTTTTCTGCCTTTATAAACCATTTCTGAAGTGTTTAAGAGAAGGCAACTAAATAGCTTTCTCTTCTTGCAATCATGTTTCTTTTCTGGATTTAAGGACTGCATCCGTCTCCTCGCGGAGGATTAACATTAGATGTAGGAACCACCTCTGCCCGTTAAGTACATTTACTCAGTTTGGATACCAGATGTGAGGAGAGAAGCCCCATACTTACCTTTCATGGCCCAGGAGGACATTATTCAGATCTTCGTTTACTTGGATTAACTCAACTATCACATCTTCATTCTCCACTGTCACCAACAGTTCCATGATCCTTTCCTGCATCATCCGGCAGGTCTTATACAGTTTCTGCCCAAGGTGGGGGGAAAAAAATAAAAAAGTCGTAACTGTGGTCTCCCAGTTTGTCAGTTCTGGAGAAGAACGATACGACACTTGAACACTGCAGACTCATGGGTAACATTCCTTAATTTACACAAACAGCACACATACCAAACATTGCAAATAGCATAATTTTCATGTCTTTGATCTCTGCGAGGCAGGTTGACAACTCCTATCATCACAGCCAGCACTCCTACCCAACCCCTACCTCCAGACCCACCTTTACTTCTAAAGAGATATGTGTCTCTAAAGTCTAAATTACGAATTGCAAAATAACAAAGAAGCCTCTGGGTGACCCAGAGCAAATCGGGTTTGATCCGAGTTGAAGCTGATTAAATTCAGCACGACACTTCACATGGATATAATGGATGTGATCCTCTTCAATGTCTGTTTGCAGAAAAGACAAGAGTGGTCTAAAGGACAGAAATGCTCTGTGACACACATCTTCAGCTCTAACTATTCCTGTACGCTGGGAAGTTTGGATGCACTTCATCTATGCAGTTTTTGAGAAAGTAACACAAACTTAGCAAAGTCTGCTCAGTAACCTCTCATAATTCTCCTATCAGCTGAATTTTGCATTATTGCTAGTTGAAATGGAAGGTAATTTATTCATATTCCTCTCCACTGCAGATTTTGCATGTTTAAAGAAACAAATTCTTTAGTAACAGAAACTTCAACACAGCCAATGCTCCCCACCCCTCCCCGCAGTGCATTTGCAAATACTGGCTGGCTCCACTTAGACAAAAAAAAAAACAAAAAAGAACCCAGGAGGGAGAAAAATTACTCTATTTGCAAACTGCTATTCAGAAATCACCTTAGTATTCTTTTCAGAGATCCAATTTCTCCTCAAAAACATATACTTCACATAAATAAATGGCTTTATTTCTGTTAAAAGAAATGTTGGTCCCCTTTGCCAAATCTGCATGAGGATTACAGCGTACTGTACCTCTCAGTACCGTATCTTCATAGTCCAGGATAAAACACACAAAAACATATTCAGTTTAATGTCTGTAATTACATTTAAAACTCCTCCAGCTCCACACTTTACTACCTGATCCGCATTTTTAAAAAGTCTGTTTCTTAAGACTCCCTTATACAGGCAGTCTAGCTCCTTTGTAACTATCGGTATTCAGCAGAGAAGAAAACGAGGTGCTCCTTCCAAGCACAGATTTGCTAGGCTTTGCTCCTACCCACGACGATGCGTGCGCTCTCACGTCTTGAAAACTGGAGTCTTACAACAATGGACGACCAGCCAGTATAACAATCATCAGTCATTCCAATGAATTTGTGCTGATTTTCACCAGCTGATGGTCTGGACCCAAAATCCTGCATGTCTATACATTATTCAGTACGAAAAGTTTGTTACTCTTCCTGGCTGATACCGAGCTTTATCTGTTCTTTAACTACTGTTGCTGGTCAGTACAATATTTCAAGTGGGATTTGCTATCTGGTCCAAAACTGGGTGGAGTAAGGGAGGAGCCAAGCCACTAATGAAGCTCCAGAACTGAAAATATGTATTAAGTTCACCCTGATTAAGTTCGCCCTGTTAACAGTTTTTATTGAGAGACTCAAGATAACCAGAAGGACTGAATTAATATCTCCAACTCCCTCAAAGCCTGAACAAGCAGCTCTTGGTAAAGGACTTTGTTCTCTGACAACAAAAGCCTAATCAAAGCAATCCAAGTAGGGCTACAAACAAAGGGGAACATTAAATACTGCTGAAGGAACAGGCTAGCCGTGCTTGATGCGTTGTAACACTCAGTCAGTGCACAGGGGAAAAGAAAAGAAAGAACAACCCTGAAAATAACATAGAAGGAAGGAGTTTTCAGTCACTCTCCCACAAATGGGAACTCCACACCCTGTCCTGGAACTTTTGCCAACAATTTTATTGCTGGGAGTGTCAATAAGAATCCACTGGGTTACTGCGGGCAAGCTAACCTGGGCACCCACTTGCAGAAGGGCCATAGTAGCAGAGAGGAAGCAAAAGACGGACCTTTAATGTTTTGCAACCAGAAACACTGACTTTGTCATCAACCTGGCCACCTCTGTCCAGTCGATGACAAAGTCAGTGTTTCTGAGGAAGAAATAGCGTTCTCCTACCTGGGATAGCTTTCACTGGCTGGTGAAATCAGGGCAGTTTGCACTTTGGCAACCTCCTCGGTGGCTGTAGAACTACAGAAGTAAAATATAGTGCATAGAACAGCTGCTTGCGTGATGTTCGCTGCTGGAACAACCTCAATGCTTCAGTGCAGGCAAAGCAGCACCTCTGCCAATCTATTGCAACAGCTTTTGCCTGTGCTTAAAGTCTACGCTGCTCAGACCCTTGCTTCACAGGCCCTTCTTCCCTCCTGTAGCTCCACAAATCTCTGCGAAAGAGACAGTGTTGGAGATGCAAGGAATTTCAGAGGAACAGAAACCTGCATCTGTCTCCTATCTGGTTCTCCCAGACCAGCAGCACAGCCTGTCACTAAAGATGAGAGACAGCGGGAAACTGCTGCTGTCTCTCCAAATCTCACCTCCAGTTGTGCACCAATGCGTAAACAGACACAACTGAACAGCACAAGCTTGAAGGGAAACCAGCAGCACCCAATAAGGGTTCTTTGCAAAGGGAAAGTTCTCCACTGGGCAAGAGAAGCACGCTGAAGGCTTGCAAAATCTAGTTACCTGACACATTTAATGCTGGCAAATTGCCCAAAATGCTTCCTCGTCATAGAAGTTCAGAGTTTAGAAACTGAAGGATGTGATAAAAGCTTTTTAAATTCTTGCAGACGATATGAAACCAAAAAATGTCCATTGACATAGATTACTGTTGAAATGCTAAATTAGAAATTAAAAAGTGCAGTATTAAAATGGAAAATATAACATGAGCAAACAGAAGAAATGACAAAGAGAAGAACGTCTCTATATTCCTTGTCAAACCTAAACTGGACTATTGCAATAGACTTCCTTCAGGCTACGCTTTAAGAGCACGTGGATTCATCTATAGCACAGCAAGATCCCAATCTTTGAGGTCACACACATAAAACCTATGCTTCATATTCCTCATTGGCCTTCAGTCTGCCTTTAAGGTACTGGTAATAATAAAGAGAGCACTGAAAACTCCAGGATGGATATGAGAGACTGTGTCATCATCTATTTTCCCACAAGGCAACTGCATTCAACTGGAATGTTCTCAGGGCTGTTTGACAGAACACGCTTAACAGAGAATGCTCCATTATGAAATTCCTTTGCCCTTGGAATTCCCTAGAGCTCAAATTTGCATTGCAAGCTGCATTGGCCTCTCCTGACTATCTAGATGTCAGGGGAAGGTGAAGAAGACAAGAAAAGCTGAGCAAAAAAACAGAGAAAGAAATCTATTGTTGGATTCCATTTGGCAATCCAAATCCAGATGTTAAAAGAAAGGCTACAACGTATTTTAAAATCAACTTTAACCAAACCATACCAATATACTCTACCAAGGAATTACCACATACCTGTAAAAGATTCATATCATCTGGATTTTCAGAGCCAGGAACATTTTCTTTTAATATTGATGACATGACTCTCACATTCATTTTGGCCATATCCAGTTCGCTGTACAGTTTCCCAATCTGTTGAGTTAGACAGGACAGAATGAACAGAGTGAGCAGAATAATTCTTGCCTCCAATGTGCACTTTCTTCCCCATTAGGTATAATATGAGCCTAATTAGCATTATTTTACCCTGGTGACACGCCATGAAAATGAATGGAATTAGCTCAGCTTTTATATGTGCAATCAAACTAAGATCCAAGTCTGATAGTGCTACTCATTTTCCTTACAGTTAATCTCTCTCACTAATGTTACTGTTACTTTTTTTAGTCACCTACAGGCCACGCAGGAATGGAAGTGAACCATCTTTCCTGCTTTATAGAATAATCTCTTTACACAAGCCTTATGCAAAAGCAAGTTTGGCTTTCTCACTTCTCTCTGAAGTAACTTTTATCCATTTGCATAACAACACCGTACAACACCATTAGGTATTCTCACGCTTGAGTAAATGATTCCACTTTCTGGTTGGCGTACAGCCTGGCACTGACTGAACTTGCTTCTGCCTACTTTGCTTCGGCACACCAGTGTCTAAACCATCTTCTGGGGAACGAACATAAACCCACGAATACAGAGCCGTGCCACTTGAGCTGATGGTCTCTTCCAGTGGTCTGTGCACTCAGGTTCTTGAAATCACGCATTAACAATATATTTTAGTGGACCCGCCCTCCTCTAAACCTATAGTACTGCACCTGCTCAGGAGTCAACAATAATGTTGGGCCTGTGGGAAGAGGCATTAAAGAACGTTTTGCAGGAAGAGCAGAAGATGGTGATGACTTTGTAGAAGGCTGAGGTGAAGTCTGTGGAAAGACAAAAGAGCACAGCTCGGGTTTAACACAAGAACTGAAGCAGACATCCAGACGAGAGAGCTACGAAGCATCTCCGTCAGACTAGACACCAGGGCATTAGCTTTCTCATAATCAATGCTCCCAGGAAATCTGTTGAGCAAGGTCTACTTTACAGGAATAAATCTAAGGGCTATTTTGTAATGAAATGAGGCGTGGAATTCAGATATCTTTTAAATGGGTTTGCAAGTAAATTGAACTATTTGACTGCTCTTGAAAAATCTAAAACTCAGGCTGCATATGAGTACACGCTTCAAGTCCTTCACTTTCTAGAAACTGAGGTAAAAATTGTGTTCAGGTCTGCTGTTGCTGAGATCAACAGAAGGTTTGCTACCAATTTTAACTGGCAGATACACACAATAAACAGAATAATCTCTACTGTAGTTGGTGAGAAAAAAAAAATTGCCTATTGAGAATGTTCTCCAGAGCGCTTGTTCAAACAACCTTTAAATACACAAGCTTTTGTGCACTACTCAGTCATTACATCAAACTCGGGATAAATCTGAATCATACCTGTCTGCACTGATTATAGACATCTAATTCTGTAATTGCAAGGTTCCACCCGGTGGTGGATGGCTTTCACACTTCCCAAAACTCTTGTGAAAATCCTTCTAATGGAAAAAAAACAAACCCTGGAAAGAATGGCTTTAAAGTATGTACTGTGTTTCCAGCTGATCATCAATGCTCAAGCCACACTTATACCTAATGTCCTAAACGCTGCACACTGCTGTCCATGACATATGCTTAAATAACATGTGTTGTGTACAGGCTGAGCAAACAGCTGGAGAGATATATAGACAATAATCTTTTCTTTCATATTTCTACCTATCTTGGCTTAATTTTAAAGATAGATAATGCTCATATTCTGAACAGTGTACGTTTTTGTGAAAATCCTCTTTGTCTTATCTGAGCCTTTCAGAAGCTGGAGCACACAGCTCTCATTCACCTTGAGATAAACAGCGCACCCAAATCCTCTGCACGCTTTGACAGTCTCAAGAGAGAGAGGCTTTCTTTTTTGAGAACATATCCACTGATCTGTGGTTTGAAATAAAACAAACTATTATATAGGCCAGGTGTCTTTGTTATCTTTGCTGTTATAATTGAAACTGATTTCTGCTCAAGTGCTTAAGTAGGTTGGTCATATTCTGCCCTGCAGCAATTAAATAATAAAAAAACCCCAAACAAAACAAACACACCTTCTTTATCTACAGAGCTCATACAATTAACACATCCTGTTTTTGATTTACAATGGTTAATGAAGTATCCTTGTGTATCCCCACCTTAAGTCCTCCTCTGCTGGTGTCAGAAGATGGAAACTCCACTCCTTTCTTCAGCAATTCCAGATAAACTTCTTTTACTTCACTCACATCCACCATCCCTTGGAAACCTCGGGCCCACGTCTAGTTTTGAAATAACAAGAACAGTAACAGTCACAGAAGTGGACAGTCCATGGCTTAGACAAGCTCTTCTCAAACACATGGTCCTGAAGGAGTTCGTTCCCTCCATCCACTCCAGCTAACTCCACTCAAAGCAGCAGGGACCACAAAAGCTCCGAAATTACCTCTCATCCTGTTTCTTAAGTGCAACCACTGAAGGAGCATGTTATACAGACTAGGAAGGGAATGTAAAAGGTGGAAGTCGACGGTTTTCCAGTTCTCTCCCTTTTTCTTCCAGTCCATGCTACTCCTGCGCGCAGCAGGAGCATCAAGAATAACGTCTGCTTTAGGAAGAGGTCCCCATGAGTGTGTTGCAGCACAGAAATAGGCATCACTAAATGTTTACTGTATGGCAGAGACACAAACATTGTTTACTCTAGACTTACCATGATAAAGGTCAAGATTTTCTCCTGCATGTCAATTGGCAGATTGTATCTTGGATTCAGGAGTTTCACCAGCTTGTCTTTACAGAAATCTTTCTTCACAACCAGGGACTGGAATCTTGGGCCACAGTTCTCTACACACATCTCGAGCAGCTGAACACACACAAAAGGTTCTGTTACACAGATGCAAGATGTAAACAATTTGGCTGCTTTTGTTCTATTCGTTCCAAGGTGTTACAGGGAAGAGTACAAATGGATACGAAGAGATTATTGGCATCTGTCTCCCTAGAATGTCTGATGAGGTTACTACAGGGCAACAGTAGCTCACTGCATGCACAATGCAAAATGAAATGTGTTTGCCAGAGTTTTGTGATTTTTACCAGAGAAATATGGTCACAGTTGTTTCCATGTCACAGCAGTTACTGAACTTAACAGCATGAAACCTGTCCATAGCTTAAAAAAATTACCTGTACAGATTCAGGAATGAAATTAACTCACTGCCTAGCACATAGGTACCCTGGCCTGACAGACTCTGAAGAGTTCTGCAAAAGAAGGAAATAAGATCACTAAATGCCTTTTCCTAATCTGCCCTATGAGACACTAATGAAAAAATAGAAAAGAACAAATTCAACAACTCTGAGTACAATTTCTCCATGCATCTTAAAGGTCACAGTAATTTGAAACAGAACAGCTGAATTCTTCCAATTGTCAGATTTGTCTTGATGAAAGCAGTCTACTTCCAAAATTCTGCTTGAAATGCTCAGAGCAGGATCCCGGCAAGCAACGTCTGCCCTATCAAATGCAGCACAATACTTCTCCCTTGTACACCTTGAGGTGGCCGATCACAATTTCCATTTTTACAGAAGAACCACCAAAAGCTGTCTCTATGTCCCAGTCACCTGAGATCAGGCCAGTACAAGTCTTGACAGGAAACTGGGTGCAGAATCGGGAACAGAATCAGGTGCAGAATCAGGAACAGAACTCATCCTGCCTCGCTCAGATCTGAGATTGACCACAGGACCACAATGCCCCTTGTAGAGAAAAACAGTCACTCTTCAGCATTTTGCCCTTCAACCATATATTTCTTTTCCACCCCAATTTAATCAGGAAGGTAGAAAGGTGAAAACAAATGGTAGAAATTAACAAAAGTTTGCAAAATTTTGTGGGTTTAAAGAGAAAATTTCCCTTTAATCATGCAACAGATAAGATATATTCCCAAAAGGATACACAGATGTTAAGTGACACTACTGTAATCTGATAAAAGTAGGTTAAATATACTTTCCTATTCAGAGCAGACTATATTTGACTAAGTTGAAATCATTTTTGTAACTCATTTTCTAGCCTCAGGACTTGGGGATTTTTCTCCCAGTGTGATCAGAAACTTACAGGAGAACAGGTTTAAGACCAGAACAAAATATATTGCTGAAATGAAAACAGGGTAGAACAAAGAGGCACTGGTAGACTGCTGTGCGAAAACCTGAAAGATAATTACAAAAAAAAATCTTGGCTCGAATCATTACTTTTCATTTGAAAGAGTACATGAAACATATGCTAATAAGCCAAGTCATTTGCCTGTGCAGTACTTCAAAGATGGCCTGTGTAAAATATTTTCAACCCAGTGTATGGGAAATTTGGTATGCTACTCCCTATTATTAATTCCCTACTTAAGGGCCTGAGTATTTACCCGCTGAATGAAAGTACTGAACTAATGGGCTAGATCCTCCACTCAATTATGCCAGTACAGCCCACTCAGAGCAAAACTAAGCTGGTGTAAGAAAAAAACGAATTTGACTCAATTATTTTTAACTGGACCATTCATGAACAAGCCACTTTCATGCTAATAACACCTTCCATTAGAATTTCAATATAGTTATTTCTCATTGCAAATAAGACTTCACCTTCCCAAGCAGTTCCACTGGGACGAGTAGATCCAAGGTGGCCAAGTCAACCACTGCTCCACAGAGCACAATGGAGTCTCAACAGAAACATGTTTTAATAACAGAAACGGCAAATTAACTTCAACCGAACCATTAAACTTCCTCTAAATGACAGGGAGGACCTGAGAGCTGCTGGAACTGACAGAACTGCTATGTTCCAGGCTAGCTGATACCAGACAGCCAGCTGAGAAGAGTTCTGCACTAAAATAGGGGCAAACTGCACAACCAAAGCCCTCTGGTTCACGTGACAGCAAGCACAAAACCAAAATGCTGAAAGGCATCTGAAGAGAGGTGAAGACAAACTGCAAAGCAGAAACAAAAAGGAGACAAGCTGGTGGACATAACCTGGACACGGGTACAGAGGACACATTGAAGAAGCTACTTCCCCACAAGCTGCTCAGTCCATAAGACCTCAGGGGCATCGGAGCTGGGGCACTGCAGTGAATGCTTTACAAAACCAAAGGAGATCAACAGAGACAACTCAATAGGCGTGTTACTATTCACTATGTAAACAGAGTTTTCGTATCCCAAGTCTATTAGCACTGTGGAGTCAAATAACACATGCACACTTTGCTGGGTTCCTGCCGAAAAGTTCTAATCCTCTTCACTCTGATTGCAAAACTGCCACTGCCGAGCCTGATCCCTTGGCTTTATCAAAGACTCTGCGTGACGCAACGTCGAGGCCTGACACACATAAACCTCAATCCGCGTGACTTCACAAGCACCAGGTAACTTCAGTAGATCCCAGTACGTGAAGTCAAGTTGTAGCCAAAACATTATAGAGCTGGCGCTTGCCGCTTCCTCCAAGCAAGTAAACAGGCATCTGTGAGCCAAAAGGAGGAAGACACTGCTGAGATTGAGACACGTCTCAGCAACAGGATTGGGGCTCACACAGGCAGTCACACGACCCCAGACACAGATTTTCATGTTTCCCTCTGCGTGCATGCTCTGGGAACGAGTTCCTTAAGCAGTTTCATTAGAAAGATTAACTTCCAGAATGTAAAGGTCGAGTAAATAAAAGTGGATCAAAGTACATTTCAAAAGAAAAGTGGTTTGTAGATGTGGGGCCTTCTTAGTTGTATCTGCTGTAGGCAGGAGAGACAATTTGATGTGAAGTCTCAAAAGCTGGAGGAAATACAGGCAGTAACTTAAGTTGCACAAAAAAAGAACTCTTATTTTTGTAGAAATTTAGGAGAAAAAACAAGTTGAAAGAGATAAAAGTTGCATGGGGAAGGGAGGCACTTGTGTTTTAGGAATTGAAAATCATTTCTGGTTTTCTGCTTGCAATGGTTTGTTGTTCCAACTCAAGCATTTCAAAATGGGAAATAGAAACAATTTCATTAAGGCAATCAAGAAGATACAGCTCATAGAAAGATCAATCTGGGAACAAAGGAGTTCAAATTTACACATGGTCAGCAATGAGGTCATCAAAGGAAAGGTTTTACACGTGCTAAACTGATGGCAGTGCTGGTAGGAAACCAGAAAAAGGAAAGGAGGCAGGGGCAGAGTGAAAGGAAAAGGACTGAAGATCTTGCATAAGAACGAGAGCAAGAAAATACAAAAGACTGGCTCTTATTATTAAAAAATAAAATAAAATATTAACGGACTTGGGGAGAAGAAACCCGCAGTCAGAAAATAGAAGCTGAGCCAAAATGATGCGACTGCCTGGCAGGCACAGCTACGTGCGTCCATGTGAGTGGGTGAGAACAGGCACGGAGAAAGGGTCCTGGAACGGGCAAGAGACTGTGAGAAATTGTTGAACTACAAGCAAAACTGACACCCAGTATACACTCAGTCTGCAAGCAAATACAATGAGCTTCTAGATTAAAGTGATAAAGTTCTTCCATGCATACACCTGAAATAAAATCCTTCTCCCACTTTTACATCAAGCTAAGCTATAATGTCACCTTGGCTGTATCTGCAGAGCAAATATCCAAACAAAGGCTCCTAAATCTAAGCACTGGATTATGATAACTCCAGTTGACTATGTCAGACGCTCCAAAAAGGACCTGGGTGCACAAAGACTGCAGGAGAAAGAGAGATCTGATACGGAAATTGCAATTACAGCGGAAACCCAGTGTTTCTGTTATGCAAACACGTGGAACTCTCAAAAAGGTGACTCATGAGACAGTGGAGGAGGAAGCCAGGAAAGCACTGCGGAAACGGAGTGAGCTGAAGGCATACATCGGTATGTTTAACATATTTATCTGCATTTCTGACTTGTCAGCAGACACTTGGGCAATCACTAAGCGACCTACAATTTGACACTATCAATCACCTATCTTCCTTAATCACTTCTTAGCACACACTGATATAAATAATGATTTTGCACAAAAAATACCAAACCCATGAGTAATAGTACTCAGTGTAATGCAGACAGGCCTCTACAACCTCAAAGAAGGAAATGGAGAAGAAAATACTTCTAAACAAATAATGAAAGATACAAATCCCCAACAACTCAAAATATGAATGGTATGATTCTTCTCACAGTTGCATTATTGTTAGTCAAAGGTAATTTAACTCAGGAACTTTGGAGTTACAGCAGCATTAGGAACTTCCTGCTACTGCCTACGTTACCACTGCAGTGGGAAACAGAGAACTAGGTTAATGTATTCCACTAAACCTTAAACTGACTGAACTCACACCCCCAAACTCTGGGATAGTTCAGAAACACTGTCAGGGTCTGGAGGCCAGGTTATCTCAGATGAGGATATTCCCAGCCACTGCAACCTTTCCTCATAATGAACCTTATGGGGCTGACCCCGTGTCTTGCTGCTTTGTTTAACTCACCGTTCTCACCCTTCCATTCAAATTTCTCATTTATACGTGATAACATTTACCTTTACAAAACAGGTATCACCCATTCCACCACGCTGCATACCATGCTTAGTTTAACTAAGATCAGTCCCACAAGATGACTAAAGAATGGTCAAATGTAGCTTTAATGTAATAGCCCACCCTCCACACCATTCACAAACAGGTGGGGCGCTCACAGACAGACAGTCACTAGAGTAAGTGAGAACTATACTACTTTACGTAGCACAAGTTTAAAAGACAAACAAATGCTCGACAGTAAATTTAACACTTTGCATCATCCAAGGCTCTGTGGAACGCCAGTAGATGATGTGCACTGTGGCAGTGCTGCACGCACAAACAACAAAGACAGAAAACATCCCGGAGAGTTGTGTCAGTGATAATTTGCATGCCACCTTATCGTTTAAAATGTTTTCCTTCTTAGTGTCTAATTAATATAAACATAGCTGTACTTACAGACAGGGTAAGCCTGATCTCCTTATGGTTACAGTTTTTTGAAAGCTTCTTCTTTAGTGCTTTAACTGCATCTTTAGGCCTGTGACAAGAATTTAAGTAAAAAAAAGTTACCAGTGAAGCCAGACTGTTTTTATAGTTCATAACTTCATCCAAGAGCCAAAAATACCTGCCTGAGATATGGGATCAAATCCATCCCTATATTTACACCCACATAAAACTACAGCAATTGCCCCATCGATTTCAGCAAAATCACTTCAGCATTGAGCTACAGTAACAAAGCAGTGAATCAGGTTTGTTACCGCACACTGTGCATTACTCCAGAGACCTGTGCAAAGAAATAAAGTTATTTTCCTCTGCAACATCTCCTCCAAAACTGTATTATTTCACTGTTGTACAATAGATCCACTTATCTAGCTTTTATTGATACGAAAGAGAGTAACAATTGCGAGCCGTATCAAGAGTTGTCTGGCACATATTTTTCATGTATGATGCAATTAAAAAATATTCTGCTGGGAGTGCTGTCAGGAGTAGGGGTGTCTTGGCTAACTTCCAATCTTATAATTGCAGGATGCTTTTAACTCATCTGAGTAATTACCATGTATGGATGGACGACCCATTCCACCCCAGAGATAGTGGCATTTCTAGCCCAGTCATTTTGATTTCTATATATACATCCTGTATCTTTTAACTATCTGTGTAAGAGGAAAAGGGTGGAAGATAGCATCTAGTTTATCACATGTGGGAAATACTTTTGCCTGATTAACATGAGCTATCTATAGTGTACAATTATTAGGGCGAGCTCAGTGCTCATGATCAACAAAAACAACATGTCCTAAAGTCTCTTTTCGATCTCTCTAGAATCTAAGATGGAGCAATAGGCACAAATACAATATTTCAATAAGAGAAAAAAATAAATAAACCTTTGCTGAAAATATTTCAAAGCCAATGAAATTAAATGGGTAGCTACCATTACTACATTTTTCATTTTGAAATGCTGTTGTAAATGATCAGAAAAAAAACCAAGAGACTCCTCTATTTTTCTTAGTCATATGTCATACTTGGTCGTAGAGCAACAAGTGATGGATGGAAGCATGAGAGCAGAGAAGAGAACTTTCCCTTGCAGAAAGCTGTACTATTACCACTCCACTCCTCTTTCCTGCTTCTCTCTCACTGGAGCATCTGGAAATGTTCTGGTCAGGAGCTGGATGTCGCATTAAAATAACAAAATTAGATACAGTACTTCTGCCGTTCCTAGTGTCCTGTTACAGACTGTGACTGTAATCACAGTGGTAGTTGCCTAGGAGGAAGTCACAAGGAGTTCCTCTGTAAGCACAAGCTGTGCACAAGAGCAAATAGTTTATTAAAAAAAGCTCTGTTGCATAGAAGCTCCGCATAAAAACTAGCAGGGAGGGTCAAAGCATGCTGTTGCTTGTGGCACGGATCAGAAAAGAAGTTACAACTGACCTTCCAAGCTCTGAGAGCCACAGGTGAGAGCATGGGATGTGAAAAAATGAAAGGAAGGAAAAGCTGATGTAAAAAAGATACTTGTGCAGAAACCTCGCACCTCATCGTTCTGGGAGAAGGTGTTAAAACGTGCCACCGCTGGCGGCGAGTGCTTGCACTGCAGAAGTGGATCTTACGTGAGAACTAATCTCCCTCTCCCGGTTCCACAGGCGGAAACGAGGAAGCACAAAGCGGCGAGGGGCCGGCAAAACCAGGACGTGGCCCTTCAG